TTCCGTGGCGACTCCATCCTGGTATTTTGCGCGAGCAAGCAATTTTTCGCGATCCTTCATAATTACCCGTCATCGCGAACTTCGCGAACCGCTCCGTAATAATTGTCATCCTAATTTATGCGTATTTCCCTCCTCCTCGTGGATTGCGAGCGGGGACCGTTCGCAATATCGACGAAACTCGATGCGACTGCCTCGCATCACCGCGGGCGATTGCGCGAAACGAGCACCAGCCAGCGGCAACTTTCGTGCCGGCGTTTATGCCCGTTTATGAGAGAAGTTCGTCGAACGCAGAATACGCGCGCGCCATTCCCTGCATGTTTTCCTCGCGACGCACGCACGCGAGATACGCCGCAAACGCTTGTTAAATCATAACCGTAATGGAGGGCGCATTGCATTACGGCCGAAATGCACTTTGGCAATCAGTTCGGCGGCGGTAGAATTTTTTTCTTTTTCTTTTTTTTTTGTACTTTCCACCGCGTTTTCGAGGTCTCGCCTAGCCAACAAAATTCTCAGCATAGGAATCCGATAACCATTTCCTCATTGCGATAACCGCAAAATACGATTCCGAACTCCTCGATGGAAACTCCCTCTGATCACAAGCGCGATTAAAAAATTACGCGCTTTGAAACGCGCAGGAAGGTTTATTTAATGAAAGATGAAGTTTATTTATTTATTTATTTTTTTCTGCAATTAAAAGCACGTTTCGAACATTTCTGCCGCGTATCTGCCCTCCTCACATGCACCGTTAGCGGTGGACGTCGCGCGGAGAGCGACGTCCAGAATAAATAACAGGTTTAAATAGATAAAAAGCCGGCATGGCACTTTTAGTACGTTCCATTTCCGTTACTCGATTCCGCGCACCGATTTGAGAACGATGCAGTCTCATCGCGGGCTTCTGGGTTGCACCAGGCAGGAGAGGTCAAAGACCGCGGCAGAGACGTTAACAGCCGTTTGAGACCTGGCGCGGCGACGTATATCTCCAGGTGCATCGCGAGTATTCTCGTCGTGAAATTATCCACCGACAAGTCGTGACACCATCGTTCCGATTTTACGACGCTACCGATCCTTCCAGCAAACGTGCTTTCCTCCTCTCTCGCGGGGGAGGGGGGCGGGGGATTTCCCCCCCCCCCGAAAAACGGGAATACTAATGCGATAAATTGAAAATAGAAACGACGAGAGAATTCTCGTGATAATGCATAAACAAGCGATGCGGTCGTTAAATTTTTTTGCGATATTAAATAAAGCGTTTCTGGTAATAAAATAAATGTGAGGAATCCAGAACATCCTCCGTACAATGTAATATTTGTCGAGGAAATTATTCGCACGCTTCATTATAAAATGATAAAATTTGCACCCCGTGTGAGCTTTTAACTTCGACACGCGAATACATATAATTCGAGATATCTCGTTTTCGACGGAACGCGAGTTTTAAAGCAGATAGTAAACGGATGTAGGTATTCCATACGTGTATTCGGGCAGATTATTAATGGTAGAATAAATCTGCATGAAGATAATCGGTAAAAAAAAAAAAAAAAAAAAAAAGTCGAGGAATCTAGTCATCAACGTGGAATCGTTCCTTGAATATTTTGCTGTAATTTTGATGTAATTCGCGATGATACGCGATATACGCTCATCGATGTAAGGCAAAATAAGTCAGGAATTTTTCTTCGCGCGTTGGAGAAGAATAAAAAAAAACAACACACACGAAATAAAAAGATATATACTTACTAATGCGCAATTATTTAAATCGGCAGTATGTCTCGGCTAAAGTGCAACAGGTTGTGTCGACCTCTAATGTTTCTCAGCGCGAAACGAATTTAGGAGAATGATTAATATCCACGATTGGCACAAGTTAGCATATTACAATTATTTACACTGGCATTATTTGCACAATAACTAAATGTCACTCGACGTTGTCGGCGCGATTAAAAGTTACGTCCAGCCCGGTAATAATGCATTCGCACGACCATCTCGAATCAATTATCATGTAGAAATTGGTTGCGACCGGAAGCCGAGAGTGGTATGTTGTCACGTTGGTGTAGCATAATTAACACACAGAGTTGCTTACAAAACACAACGTATAATAATCTTCGTCGACTTCTTTCGACACGACGCGCGGTATGCGCGAGGAATTTCGTAATTCTCCAGGTTTTTTTTTCTTTTTCTTTTTTTTTAAGCAGATATTAAGCGAATATGCAGGAGCGGCGATATTAAGAGCGCACGGAGAGATTAGAGGGAGATAGCACGGTGCTGCGAGCTCGATTTTCCGTTACCGAGATTGCCAACTTTCTGCATTTGTAAAACAGTCCGTGTGCGGCACTGCGCATGCCGTACGTCGAGAATTTTCTTCACGAGGCTATCTCTTTCTTCGTTAAACAATTCATAGTCCAGAGGCTTGCCAAGAGCTGCGTCACGTGTTATTTCACTCAATCTCTAATCGTCATTCATTCAATTACGTTCCACGGACTTCACCGTTCGTTCGAGGCAAATTTGCTTAAATCTATCATCCAAATTTGATTTCACATCACGAAACATCTCAATACATCAAGATCTCCTCCGTTTTCTCATTCGTAGTTTCGGCGAGCTCGTACGTTACACGCAATAATAATTAACACTCTCTCGACACTTTCAATCATTCGTGAGGTCAGAAGGTCCACTTTTTATTTCTACACTAAACTTGCACTACATAGAACATCCCGATATCAAACGTACACACCTAACCAATCTAACTTTTAAGTTCCAAAAGTTCCCACTCTGGTTCAAGCCAAAGAAAATAGGCTCAACGTCACCATTAACATCTCCCGGCGTTCGCGTTGAAACGAAAGATTCATACGAATTCGCTCGAGGAATTCACGGACGGCGAGGGACACTTCACAAGTCCACACGTCGACAGTGCGATCGCGGTCACTGCCGGTTATTCGACGGTTAACGTACCGGTTGGCAGCCGGCAAAGAGCGGCCTGGCGCAGTCGTATAAAGACTCCTCCGACTGAAACGACGAACCGGCACGACGGCGCGGTGCGGCGCGACGCGGTTAATCGTGTGCGCCGTGTATCCGTTTACACTCCGTGCGTGTCGCATCGTGTCTCTCGCTCCCTTTTTTTCCACCTCTCTCTCTCTCTCTCTCTCTCTCTCTCTCTCTCTCTCTCTCTCTGTTCCTTTCCGTGCCCCCTTCGTTCTCTCCCGTTCTGGGTCTCCGTCTTGCCTCGCGCTCCTTTCGTCTCCTTGTGCACGACGCCGATGCACGCTCTCGCGCGAGCATGTACGGGGTGTCCCGAGAGTTGTAACCGCGATAGACGAGGGAGAGAGAGCCGAGAGAGGGCGATATAATCGTCGAATGGAGAATGACATGAGCGCGACACGAATGATTGTCGCGCACAAGAAAAGTGTCGAGTGTCGACGTGAGCTCGCTTGAAAAACTCGCCGAACGATATATATATGATGAACGAAAGAAGGAACTTCGTTTCCGAGTTCGAGGAGATTCGTTATTTTATCGGCCGCACCGGCGCAGCTCGCGCTACCGCTGCTTTTATCTCCATGAGAAAATTCACTTGGCACGAAACAAACAAAGAGACGCGTGCGTTGCGGTCAAGGTGCAATGAACCCCAAGCGCTGTCCTCTGCGCGACCGAATCCACGATGATGGTACGATCTCGAATCTTCGATCGAAAGCGGTTAAAGGCGAAGGACACCCCGTATGCGCGTGCACGCACGCACACTCCCGTGTCGAAGGCAGGAAAAAAAAGAAGAGACGCATGCAGGCGCACACGCGCGCACGTGCGCGTAGACGAGAGAGACAGAGAGAGAGAGAGAGAAAGCGGCAATGCGATATCTTTCGAGCCAAGCCCAGCTACAGCGTCCAAGGTGCGTCACGCTCGGAAATATGCGTGCAGTGCCTTCCGCCTCACCCTATACTACGAGCTTACCGAAGCACTACGGCGCGGCGGTCGCGGTGCCGGTATATGCACGCGCGTGCAGTCAAGTTACGCACGTCACCGGGCGGTCGGACTCTCGAGCGCACGGATTCGAAACCGAGGGATATCGTACTAAGGGCGCACGAGGGAAGAAAAGGACGAGGAAGAGGGTTTTGGCAGAGCAGGAGGGGAGCGAGGAGGGAGGAGGAGGAGGGGGGGGGGGAGATACACGTCAGGGCGCTCTCGATGTGAAACCGGTGGACCTACGGATTATTTCGTGAGTGAGAAGTTCGATCGAAGCCTCTGTCTGCCTGCCTGCCTGCCTGCCTCTGCCGGTCCCCTTCATATCGTCTCTTTTCTGCTTCCCCTGCTCGTACGTTCGAACTTTACGATGTACTACGGGGTGTAACCGCTAAATCTCTCGGGCCAACGATGCCGTAAAAAGGGGTATTAACTCTACGCACCGCCGTCATCTTTTTCCTCTTTCAACTGACCGCATTATTAGCCGTTGTAGCGCGGTGAAGTGACACGTTGAGGTTTTTTTCGCGTGATTAAGGAAATTAATGAACTACTTTTTGAACGTAAATTATTCGATAGGTATAAATATATACTCGTAACGCACATTCTTCGTGCCCCGTTTGAGAAGTTTTATTTACGGAGCGAACAACTTTCGCCATCCACCCCTTCGCGGACACACTTTTTTTGCCCGGCCTAATTTTTTTTACTGTATTCTAGGTTTTCAAGAGAAAAAAAAAATCTAAAAAATTCGGAATTACTCTATAACGTCTCCATCATATTGTCAAATTTAACAGAGTTATTTAACTGAAACGTTAAAAATCGTCATTTTCGTAAAAATTCATGCCAAGAGGCAAAAGATAATATGATAATCTACGGAGCGGTCTAAACTCGTAATAAATAAAGGAGCTGTCGAAATAAAAATAATCACAGACGTTCTATAATCTAATTATATCACTTTAACATTTTTTTCACCCTGCGGTGTTCACTCATCGCTAATTTCTGTATAAAAGATGCAACGCACGTTAAAAAGGTGTAAATGGAAAATGTGCTACCGCGATCGCCGAGGATGGTCATCGAGAAGATAAGGAGGAATAAGGAATGCAAACATTCCGAGGTTGTCCGGCCGCGGAACGTGTTCCACGAACGAGGCACTAACGATAAAACGAGCAGCCTCTTCCGCCGTCAGCCTTTTCCCCGGCGGCGAGAATGTCGATGATCTCGATCTGCAGATTCAACGCAACGCGTGCACTCGACCGCGGCGTTAAGATCGCGAAGGAAGGAAGGAAGAAGAATGCGCGTGGGACACAAACAGAAAGTACCTTTAAAAGAGTAAAGGCGCGCGCGCACTTACGGGGATTAACTTCTAAAAGGCTTTTATCATAACGCATTGATTTTTTTTCTTTCTTTTTTTTTACAGCAGTTCAAACCGCTTGATTCCAATTCAAAGTTCTCTCGTCGGTTTTATCACTTAGAAATTACTCTATACTTATTTCTAAAAGCTTATCTTTGAATTGATTAGAAGAAATGATTAGCGATTAAAGACGGATTGAGGACCTCGAACGTTACTACATGTATGACTTTACGTGAATTATACTTACTAAAAAGAATTTCTGCTCGATTCGGGACAGAGAACTGGTCAGGTTCCTACACGAGTGTGTCTCCAGAACTGCAACCGACGCGCGCGTTGCAACCGGCGGAGAATACGAATTAGCGCGCGAGGGGGTCGAAAGAGAAGGGGAGGAGGCAGCCGAGGCAGAAGATCGATTCGGCTCCGTCGGGGCACGTTTATTTGACGCTTCGTTCCCGTGGTCCCCGCCACCGCGGATTTATTATCCGAGCTTGACGCGCGACAATCCTCCCAGAAAGACGCGCTCTTTACGTTCGTCCGATTATCGTTTGACTCACTAACGAGTGAAGCGATAGTTAAAAGCCAGCATCACGAGAAACGGTAATTCCAACACGTATCTAGAAAAATTGCTAAAATTAAATTTCCATTTTTGGAATATTACATTTCATAAATTAATGATTATATGAATTAGAAATTGTATTTAGTGTTACGAAAGTGTGTACAATATCGAAAAATTGTTCACACAGAGAAGAGTTTTTTTTTAAGTTCACCATGAAAATATAACAGTCGTGGGACAGCGTTGTATTTCGGAGAATTTTTTACGTAAATCTCTCTCATTCACTATAAATTACAATAAAATTACAATAAAATAAGCCTAATTAAATTTATTGAAGTGCATGATAAAAAAAATCTTCAAAATATTATATTGTGCCACAACTACCATATTTTAGGGGTAAATTTTAAGAGAAAATTCTCTCCTCCGTGTACATCCTTTTTTTACATTTTCATCCGTAATATAAATCACATCTCCGATAGTGTAAAAATATAGCATTATTATTATTTTACAAAGATTATTTCTTCCAAATCCAGATCAGAATAGAACAGAAATTAGAACACTATAACTGCTTCTTTTTTAAAATCCCTTTAAAAGGGATTAATAAAGTCTTTTTATACAATATAACGTGACATCTCCTTAGTTAGTCTTAACATTTATCTATTTTTATGCAACACAACATCGCGATATACAAGTAATTTTAGAATTGTATTCTTGGTACCATTTAATTACGAAATCGGTTCATCCGAGTTTTTACGTCGCGTGTTGTCCTATGATTATGCCGCGTGCCGACGCCCTCCTACATATAATCACGAGTTAACTAAATATTCATGAATCTCGTTACAATGTACTTACGATGACGACGAAGAGGAATACCGATTTAACAGCGCGTATATTTCCCCACGCGATATGTAAAGATAAACTTGTACTGCAAACAAATCTGCCGGGCAGTGATACAGTTTGACTTGAATATTACGTTATTGGTAAAATGGATTCCCTTGTTATTTTACTATTCAATAAAATCAAAATGTTGTCATCGCTATTGATATCTTTACATTATACTAGAACATAATAATTAATTGCATTTTCGTTTACGTTAAATAAACGTTGACGAATAACGAGATGTAATGGTGTTGTTAAACAGATTTTTACAACTTGAAAGACATCGCAACGATCCGTAATTTTTCGCTATTGCCTCGCGATATTTTTTTTTTATAATTAAGACACCGCCGAATGTCGTTAGTGTTGTATGAAATACCGCTGGAGAACAATGGGAACGGGCACGAACAATCGAGTTCGCGTTCGCTCTCAATCACCGTTTACGCTACAACGAATCTATTCGAAATCCATTCTCTCTCTCTCTCTCTCTCTCTCTCTCTCTCTCTCTCTCGCCCACATATAAATGCACCTTAAAAGGCCGACATCCGAGGATCGCCCGCACTCACGACAGGTGCGCGGAGTAGAGAGAGGGAGGCAACGGATTAATTAATAGGCAGGACAACCGTAATTAAGCTTAATTAGCTCGGTCGTTAGTCAGTGTGTTTATACAGTGTGCTTGTAAATATCGGTCGCCGCGAATCGGACGCGCCGCATCGGGAGTCATCAT